AAGCTCACTTAGTTGCCAAAGTTTACACTCAGGCTGAAGGTATTGATTATCATGACACTTTCTCTCCTACTGCTAAGATGATTACGGTGCGTTGTCTTCTCGCACTTGCTGCTAGCCAGTCTTGGTCTCTTCATTAGCTTGCTGTTAATAATGCTTTTTTGCACAGTGACTTACATGAGGAAATTTATATGTCTCCTCCTCTTGGTCTTCGGCGACAGAGGGAGAATCTTGTGTGTCGCCTCCATAAATCTCTATATGGTCTTAAGCAGGCTTCTCGCCAATGGTTTGCAAAATTCACTACTACCATTCTTTCCGCTGGTTTTCAACAATCAAAGGCTGACTATTCATTGTTCACCAGAAAGTCCGGTACTTCTTTTACAGCATTACTTATTTATGTGGATGATATTCTGATTACAGGCAACGATGTCAGAGCTATAGATTCTCTCAAGACTTTTCTCCGTGATCGTTTTTCGGTTAAAAGACCTTGGTGAATTAAAATATTTCTTGGGTATTGAGGTCTCTCGATCTCAACGTGGCATTTATATTTCACAACGGAAGTATGCATTGGAGATTCTTAAGGATTATGGTTTTCTGGGGGCACGTCTCATTGCTTTCCCTATGGATGATACAAAATTATCTGATCAAGGAGAACTTCTCAAGGATCCTGAAAAATATCGGCGCTTAGTAGGAAGGTTGATTTATCTTACCATAACTCGGCTAGATATCACTTATTACGTGCATGTTTTGAGTCGGTTTATGCACGAGCCTCGTACCTCTCATATGGATGATGCGCTTCGTGTTGTTCGTTATTTGAAATCTACTCCAGGTCAAGGTTTATTATTTCGTTCTGACAACCAGACCAAGCTAGCTGCATTTTGTGACTCTGACTGGGCGGGTTGTCCTATCACTCGCCGTTCGACTACTGGGTATTGTGTTTTCTTGGGAAACTCTTTAATTTAGTGGCGAACAAAGCGATAGAAAACCATGTCGCTTTCATCAGCTAAGGCAGAATATAGGGCTATGGCAGGTGCTTCTTGTGAGTTAGTTTGGCTTTGGCATTTATTGAAAGATTTGAACGTTTCTTTAAAAGGTCCTTCTGCGTTATTTTGTGATAATCAAGCAGCATTGCACATAGCCGCTAATCCCGTCTTTCATGAGCGGACTCGTCACATAGAGATGGATTGTCACTTCATACGGGATAAGATTGCAGATGGCACTATAGCAACCAAATATATGGGTACGGCACACCAGTTAGCAGATTTGTTCACTAAGCCTCTTGGGAAAGACAAGTTTACAACTTTGATGTGCAAGTTGGTGTTCTTGACATTCACTCTCCAACTTGAGGGGGAGTGTTAGATAGAATCCTAGTCAAAGTAATAGATATGATTGCAATCCTAATTGAGATTGTATTCCTAGTTTGTAGGGATTAAACCTTGTAGAGGAAGGAATGTACTTGTATATATTTCTTATTCACGTATCAATGACATATACTTTTACCCTATACATCTTTTTCTACAATATGGGACTGGAAAAGTGGTGGATATAGCCTATTTTAGAGCTCCGAGGAATTTTTGGAGCTTTATTAAAGAATCTCTCCCAATGGGGGGCTATATCTTTCGGGCTCCATATGTGGCTATATATATTTATTTATGTAGTAATTTAATTAAGCGATGAATTTTTTTTTTTTTTTTTGTGTTAGCTTTTCTTAAGTTGATTTTTGGACGTGCTATCTTAAATTTTTTTTATGAACCTTTCAACCTAAAAAGTTCAAATTGTGACAAAGTTAGATTTCATTACTTATGAATCGTTGGTTAGATTAGAATCTCTCATCTCAATCTCATCTATTGAAAGAAACAAATCTCCACTTCGCCCTCTAAAATAATTTGATTTTCACGTATAACACAACAATTTATCTAGCACCAATTGGTAAATTAGTATCATACAATTTTGAAAAAAAAAATATTTGAAAATTTCACCCATCAATGCCTATGAACGTTAAATCAATTTGAAATTTTCATTCTTATGGAATTTAAAACAATCATTAATTAGCGAAATTGCAAGAAAAATAAGTAAGAAAAAAAGAATTAAAAAAATAATAAAAGGAGAGTATAAGTGTATTCGCAAGTAGATGAAGAGTGATAGAATTTTGCTTACATAGGTTGCTACTTTTTTTGTGGGACCCCTGTTTTTTTGGGCTAGATGTAGCCCGATTTTATGTTACTCAAGAAAGGAAGTTGCTAGCCTCAGTAATGGATCTAGCCTCATTTTCCGACTCATTGGGGATGAAATTTCTCGCTAAAACTAGAAATGTGGTAGCCTTATAGAGGATAAAGCTCCCATTGGAGATGCTCTTAGACAACTAGACTTCAAAAACTAATCCGTTAAAGATGAACCAACAATATATTTCAAGCTGACAACATTCTCTTCCTCACTTGAACTAAACCTACACATGAAGAGTCATACCAATAGGGGAACAAAGACAAGTATATGGGTGCAACACCCACCATACACTGGCAAGACTAACAAACAAGTTGAAAACAAGAATCCAACTCTTGATTACTTGCAAAGAAGACTTTGATAATATATTAAACAACCCCAAAATGTCAACATTTTAGAGTCAAGTTACTCTGATACCAAGGGTTAGGTCAGAGTCTTGGTCACAATTGGAACGGTTGGGTTGGGGGAACGAATCTGATACCATGTCAGAATTTTAGAGTTAGGTTTGCAACCTTGAAAATAAACTTGAATCGTCAAAAACTCTCTAAAGCCAAAGTGCGTGTGTTCTCGCCTCTTTAACCCTAATGCCTAAATATCTTATTTATACTAATACAAAATAAAACCCTAAAAGGTCTTAGAATAAAACTAGGAAACATAATAAAATAATAAAACAGAAAATAAAAGGTTTCCTATTTGAACTAAAATTCAGAATTCTCAGAAAATTAGTCTTTTGACTGACCAAATTAACTCCGATTTGGTCCTAAAAGGTCTCTTTTGAAAGCTGAAGACGTCCCCTACAAATCCTCAGAAGGAATCTCCCTCAAAACATGCCATCTTGACCTTTAAAATGCCCAAAACATCCAAAAATATCAATCTGGGAAAGCTGTGCGCTGGGCCTTTATTTCATTGCCACGGTCAAACGACTTGGTAGAAAAATCTGAAATTTTGACACAATCATCTTGAAAGACTCACGAACATCCTCCAATTAGAATCACTACAAAATTCATCCATTTGATCAATTTTTGCTTCAGAGGAATTCGAATGTCCTACATTGAAAATATATAACAAAGTATCAAAATTCTATCAAAATAACCAATAAATTATAACTAAGATTAGGGTAAAATATATAGTATAATATCGACTCATCACAACCCACTATTAATAACACCGATTTTATTCTAACTTTACAACCTACACACTGTTGGCGTGAGTCAACCATTTAGTTTAGGAATGTAATCGTATAATTGATTCCTTGTATAATTGGGTTTCTTATTTCCTGTTATGTGGGATGTTATACAACTATATATTTACCTCCTAGAGAAAAGAATAAACATACCATTCAAATCCTAAACATTTTTATCTTGGCATCAGAGCAGGTTCCGACCTGTCTCTTCCCATAAACCCTAGAAACACTCAAATCCATGAAATCACAAACCCTGGTGTTCGAAAAAATCTAGAACCCTGAAACCTAACCTTTGTAGCTTTGGAAACAATAAAGCTGCAATAAAAACCAACAAATACAAGTCCATGCAATGGTAGAAGACAAGAAAATTAGTGAGATTTTTCTCTTGCAAACCATGTCTATTCAAAGTGATTCTACCAACATCAGCGGCCTCCCATTCGGGTTTCGATTGAGCAACTCGAATTTCAAAGGTTGGTCGAAGATGATGGAGGTCCATGTCTCGAGCCTTGACAAACTAGAGAAGACAGTACCTGGAATGGCTGTTGTGGCAACATGCCAAAATTGGCCCAAACCCAAACCAGAGGATGACGCTGCTGGAACTGGAAGAGCTGCTGTTGCAGTGGGCCAAACTGGGCCCAGGACAAATGTCTCAATCCACGGTCCAGAAGGAAAATCAGCCACTGCACCAAGTAAGGATACAAGCCTAATGTCATCTTTAATCAAACAGATTTTAATGGATGATGGTTATGATGACCCAAGTAAAATTGGCACTACATTCACAACATACACTAAACGAGATTCTAGCTAGATAATTGACTCTGGGACTATAGACCATATGACATATTATGAGTCCTTGTTTCACTACTTAACCGTGTCATCCAAGGAGAATGTTATCACAGCAAACGATGAAATTGCTCCAGTTACAAGAGTGAGTTCCATCACCCTTACTCCATCTCTATCTCTGTATAACACTCTTCTTGGTCCTTCATTGTCGAATCATTTACTCTTTGTTGGTCAAATTACTGAACAATTAGGTTGTGTTGTACTCATGTTTCCCACTTTTTGCATACTACGGGATATCCAAACATGAGTGATCATTGGGCATGATACTATGGGTTGGTTTAGTATTGTTGTGCTTTGAAAAAAGTTGCTTATGCTATGCTGTGAGAATAAGCAGCTGTGAAATAAAGTAGAAGAGTGTTTGGTAAACTTTTTTGTACAAATGCTTTTGTTAAAATAAAATAAATAAATAAATAAAAAACAGTATGATAGTGTTTGGTAAACTTTTATGTAAAACAGTTATGATTGTGTGAAATGACCAAAAAGGGTATAACATTACATGTGCTATTAATTTAATTTTCTTAACAAATAAAGGTGATTTACTAAATGTACTTTATTTTTAAAAGAAAAATATTTATAAACTTTATCTTAAATATTAATTAGTATAACAAACTACTTCAATTGAAATATTTTAGACTGAATAGCTATGATTCATTAGTACAATATTGTTAATGTATTTGAAAGTAATCTAATTAGATGCATTCATCAAACTTGCCGCTATTCTATTTCTTAATGCCTCTATCTCATGTGATCCTTCAACTTGATAATTTTGGTATTATTCATCATCATCATCACTACTATCGCTCTCTTCACAAAAGTCCCTGGGGTCATCAAAATGACGATCACATTCAGAATACCTCCCTAAACATTAAGAATAATCCAACATTTAATAAGAAATCATAATCCAACATCCAATAAACACAAATTACAAGCAACATTCAACACATAATCTTAATGTAAAGTACAAACTGCAGATAGTCCTAGTTCATAGTTTTAGCTCCTTATTGTTGTTTGTTGAACATATATTTCAACCAAGTCAGCTGGACTTCAGGATCTTTCATAGTGGCAAACACCTCTCGCTTCTCTGCACTACAAAATAAACATGTATCAAACAACCATAACTCGCTAGGTGGCTCAAAATCAAGCAATTGTGCAATAGACGCTATCACTTCCGCAATACTACAGCCTATATGCAACGGCCTCATCAATGAATTTGCAGAACTCCTAGTTTCATAAGCTTCAACAAGACGGTCAATTTGACCACAAAGTTTTGTAGCACCTCCAATTTTTTTCCCTTTCTTATCAACCTTCTTCTTTTGCAATTCTCCTTGGTTAGCCGCTCTTTTTTTCCCTTCGTAGTAGCTTGCCTTAGATCCTGCATGGTCTCACTTTCTTCCTCATCATCTAAATCAATTTGTCCTATAGATTCCTCTCGTCTTTGGTGGTAGTACTCCAGATGAAGGTGTCCAAGCATGTTCACCAGTAGCAATTGTGTTCGAGAACATCCTATCTAACTTGTCCTCCATCTCAGGACTAATGCCCTTTTTTTCTCAATCTTCCATATTCTTTGTTTATCTACAAGTAAAGAAATAATATGGTTAATACATATTGCATGATATCATAATACATATTAAAAGATAAATACACAAACCTGAATTTTATTATTCCACCACTCCTCAGAGGCATCAATTGTACCTTTGCTCGAATTCCACCCTAGGCCAATTTCTTGATGCATACATTACAAAATATAGATAAATTGTGGGCATTCCATGTAGTTGTAGGATTTGACAAAGATGCCTCCTTCTTTGCCATCAATACCAACTAGTGATTTGTATATATATATATATATATATATTAAAACAAGAACAGATAATATTGTAATATAACCAAGAAATAACCAATCAAAGCATTATGTACATGAAAGCAGGAATGAGCATACACGGTACACATGGAGGCACCACATGCTTGGCCATAACGCCACTAATCAAATAAACTTGTCATTGAAATCACATGGAGCATAATGTTCCAAATTCCAAATTATTGCAAGAAGTAACCAACATGGAATTTTAGATTCACCCAAATCATAAGTCTGCAATCTAAGCAAATTCCAAATTAAGGCTGTTAGATTGAAGAATCTGACATGGATGAATATAGGGTATCTTGAACAATACCCTTGAGAAGCCAAGTATCTTTTTTCAATTGTTCCCTCCCCTACATCTCTTATCATTTGCCCTGCTTTTGTCTACTCAGAATATAAAGGCCAAATCCAGTCTACTAGTCTCTTTTTGCCACATCATTATACTGTGCTTTATCCAATGTGGTGGTTGACATGTTGCCTTAAGATAAATGGCGATTGGTCAAATAAAATCTGGCCTCGAATGTATCTTCCCAAAACGAAAAATGTCCATGTGAAAGTAGTGCGAACATTTTACATCACATTGTCAAAATTTGAACCACACTTCGAAAGCTTAAACTTGATCATTTTTCATGTTCTTAACTTGGTTTCACCCACATTTTCCCGGCAAACAAACAGCACGAATTGAACCCATGTGAAAAAACAAATCCACATTGTAGGAAACAGGTAGTGTGTTTAAGATAAAAACAAAGTACATAAACAAAAATTAAAAATAAAAAAGGGCAGAAAAAGAGGAGGAGATTTGGGTTCTCACAGTTCACCAGAGCAAAGTAGAAAGACAGCAACGGATTGAGATTGAGACTGAGAGATAGCAGTTCGGATGTTTATGCTGTATATGAGCTAAATGGTAGGTGGAGAAGGAAGTGTCTTGGAAGTTGGAACGACGAAAGCAGCAGCTTTAAGTAACATAATCCTAAATATATAATCCAAACATATATTTAGAGCAACACCATCGTTGCCAATCAAACCCTAAGAACTGAAATTGCTTCATGGATCTCATGATAATAATTAGAACCTTAATTCAAACCCCAAAACTGAAATTTAGAGAATTAATTCAAACCCCAAAACTGAAAATTAGAACATTAATTCAAACACCAAAACTGAAATTGCTTCAAAGATGGAAGGGTGGGGAGAGAGAGAGAGAAAGAGAGAGAGAGTTATGCTTACCTAATCGATGAGATCAAGCCTGTGGTCGCCTTCACTCGTTCGTTGGTTGCCAAATAAACCCTGTTTCAGAAAACCCCAAAAAAATCGGTTCATCATCCATGTTAGCTGCTAGAACCAAACCCTGAATTAAAATTAAACTACAAAAATAGAAGCAAATTGAGAGAGCAGCCAAACCCTAACCTAACTAAATTAAATTAATTAATTACAGCAAATATATTCAAGCAAATCGAGTACCTGGTTGCTCGGTCTGTGGCGTCGAGGCTGCCGGAGAGAGAGGAAATGGAGGAGGAGGAAGAGATGCAGCGCCAGGCAACAGAGGGAAGAAGGAGTGCGGAGATAGTGTTTTGCGAGAGAGCTTGCGAGAGAGAAGAGTCTGAAAGTGTGAGGAATCAGGAGAAATGAGAAAGGAGAAAGGAGGGCAATATTGGCAAATTGAAAAATTCATTAACAAAGTTACTGTACCTCCTTGTTTTTCACAATAAGCCACTTTTTGAAGCTGCTTTTTGCAGTTTTCATTTTTTAGCTTTTATTTTTTCATCTGAAACTTTGAAATAAAGCTGGTTTTGAATGTTTACCAAACACCAAAAATTCTCTCAGCCTTTTTTCATACTAACTTTTTTTAAAATCATCTCAACCCCAAACCATACCTAAGAGGAGAGGGTTATATTATGTAGATGATGTGGTACCAGGCCAAGTCAACCAAGTGAGCAGTGGTCACAATAACAAGGTTAAGCGAATCTGGTTATGGTATCGGCGACTAGGGCATGCATCTTTTGGTATTTAAGAAAATTACTTCTGTATTTATTTAATGGCGTTTCAAACTCTGATTTTCAGTGTCATGATTGCATTCTTGCAAAAGGTCATCATACTTCTTATCATTTAAGTTTCAATAAAAGATTAGTGGCTTTTGAGTTAATTCACTCCAATGTATGGGGTCCCTCACCAATAGCGATGTGCCACAGTATTCGATGGTTTGTTACCTTTGTAGATGATTGCACCAAAATGACTTGGCTCTATACTATGAAACAAAAGAGCGAAGTTAGGCAAATTTTCTGTCAGTTTTATCGGATGATTGGAAATCAATTTTCTCTTCCTATCAAAGTCCTTAGATCCGATAATGGTGGAGAATATCTTAATTCTGAACTATCACAATTTTCGCAAAGCGCGGCATACTTCATGAGACTACTTGTCCTCAAACTCCTCAACAAAATGGTGTGGCAAAACATAAGAACAAACATATCTAGGAAACTACACAGGCTCTTCTAATTGGGGCTCATGCTCCTCATGCCTCTTGGGCGGATGCAGTTACATATTCTATTTATCTTCTTAATCGAATGTCCTCTCTTGTTCACAACTTCCGAACTCCCATGGAAGTCTTGACGGATTATGTCACTCTACCATCTTCTCTTCACTTATCACCTCACATATTTGGATGTGTGGCTTATGTGCATCTTCACAAGAATCAACGAAGTAAATTGGATCTGTGTGTTGTTCGTTGTGTATTTCTGGGATTTAATAGCCAACAAAAGGTATATCAATGTTACCATCCACTTACTAAGCATTTCTATGTCACCATGGACGTCATGTTTTCCGAAACTAAGATGTTTTTCATCTCTGATCAAACCCACTCTACTCTTCAGGGGGAGTTGAATAGTAAAGACGAAGACGACAGTTGGTTTGATGTTATACATGAACGAGACAGTTGGCATAGTCCCAGCAGTACAAACGAGACCAAGACTGAAGACTTAGGTGTTATGAGCAACCCACCTAACTGCGTCTTACCAGAGGGTCGCGACACATCAATCCAAAGCCCAACAATAGGCCATGACATACCAGTTCAGAGCCCGGTAGTGGCCCACGACACAACAAGCCAAAGCTCAATGGATCTTAACCATGAAACCCCTGACCGAGAGACAGCTCATGCAGTAGAAAGTAATGGGTCAGTGAGTGATACCGAGACTATGCAAACAGAAAATAACCCTCATTCTCTTCCACTAGTACACATTCATGTCCCCGCGGGTACCCAAGAGGTACGTTCTCATACTCCAAATATTGTTCAAAATTCTTATATTTTACATCCTAGGCAAAACCGTGAGAAACCACCTGACAGGTTTTCTCCGGAAGGAAAAGTGAGATATGCAATTGCACAGTATTTGTCCACTCATCGACTGTCTCCCAAGTACCAAGCCATGGTGAATCATATGGTTGGGATTAAAATTCCAACAAAAGTGGAAGAGGCTTTGGAAGATCCCTATTGGGTAGAAGCCATGGGAGTAGAAATGGAAGCCTTACAAAGAAATGGAACGTCGAATGTAGTGTCACTACCACAAGGGAAGAGACCGGTGGGATGTAAATGGGTGTTCACCATAAAGCACAAGGTGGATGGATCCATTGACAGATACAAGGCAAAATTGGTAGCTAAAAGGTACACACAGACATTTGGAGTTTACTACCAAGAAACGTTTTCCCCGGTCGCAAAAATGAATACTATTCGATCCTTTTATCTTTAGCAGCTAACCTAGACTGGCCTTTGAAATAGTTCGATGTGAAGAATTCCTTCTTACATAGAGACCTGGAAGAAGAAGTATACATGGATCTTCCACCAGGATATGAAACACCGAATGAAGCAGGAAAAGTATGTAGACTCCGAAAGGCTCTCTACGGACTCAAACAATCACCCAGGGCATGGTTTGGGAGGTTCATTGAAGCAATGAAAAAGTACGGCTATAGATAGGGAAATGCGGACCACACCATGTTCATCAAATGCATATAAGGTAAAGTTACTTTGTTGATTATCTATGTGGATGGTATGGTAGTTACTGGTGATGACACAGAAGAGATAAAAAGGTTGCAAGGGTATCTTTTATTAGAATTTGAGATGAAGGATCTAGGAGACTTGAAATACTTATTGGGCATTGAAGTTTCTCGTTCTCGTGATGGTATTTACTTGTCTCAGCAGAATTATGTTTTTGATCTTCTCTATGAAACTGGAATGTTGGCTTGTAAACCAGTTGAAACTCCCATTGTGCAAAATCATCACTTGGTGATATACCCGGATCAAGTTCCTACTAATAAATAAAGATATCAAAGATTGGTAGGATGGTTGATTTACCTAGCACTCACACGTCCAGATATTGCGTATGCAGTTAGTATTGTAAGTTAGTTTATGCATGCTCCTAGTGAGGATCACATGGCAGCAGTGATGCGTATACTGAGTTATCTGAAAAGTGCACCGGGTAGAGGACTGATCTTCAGGAAGCATGGACCTATGGAGGTAAAAAGGTATATTGACGCTGATTGGGCGAGAAACATTACTGATCGTCGCTCTACATTAGGCTACTTCACATTCGTAGTAGGAAATATAGTAACTTGGAAAAACAAGAAGCAAAATGTAGTGGCTAGATCCACGGCAGAGGCATAGTAAAAAGGGATGGCACATGGAATTTGTGAGTTGTTATGGCTTAGGATTCTTCTCACTAAGATTGGGTTCAGGCCTCAAGGAGCTATGTTATTATACTGTGACAATCAAGTTGCGAGAGAAATAGCTAATAATCCCGTTCAACATGATCATACAAAGCATGTGGAGGTAGATAGACACTTCATCAAAGAGAAGTTAGATGTAAAATTGATTGATATTCCATACGTGAGGTTTGAAGAACAATTAGCAAATGTGTTAACTCATGCGGTTCTAGCAAGGGTGTTTAAGACTCACTTGACAAGTTGAGCTTAACAGATATCTACGCACCAACTTGAGGGGGAGTGTTGGCATGAGTCAACCATTTAGTTTAGGAATGTAATCTTATAATTGATTCCTTATATAATTGGGATTCTTATTTCCTGTTATGTGAAATATTATACAACTATATATTTACCTCCTAAAGAGAAAAATAAACATACCATTCAAATCCTAAACACTTATATCTCACATGCTGACATGTATTAAGTTTTATCATTAAAGGCCTTAATATTATTAGTAGTGGTAACATTCATTTATAAATAATAATATATTTTATCAAATTTCCGATGATTGTATTCTTGAACACTAAACTCTTAAAACTTAACCTATCAGAGAAAGGGCCAACTGTGTGTACTAAGCTTACAATCACAATGTCCACATTCTAGAAAATTAGGTGCACGCTCTTAATTTGCTCTCAACATAAACAGAATTGACAGCACTTGCAAGAATAGAGAGAGAGTCTTCACTTGCAATTGCAAATGCCAAAGTTTGGAGCCAAGTAGGAAGCCCTCTCTGTCCTAATCTCATCCCTAATTCCTAGTTCCTAAACAAGTACTTGGATCCTTTCTTGTTAACACTTGGATCCCTATAGGCTACAGGTTACAGGCTACTATTTTAGATCCAATGATGTTAAGCACCACCACAGGCCAAAAAAGGAAGATTATTAACCATAGTCATTAGTGATGACATGGTTACTTAGTAATGAAGAATATAGTTAGTTGAAATGTGTTGGTAGGTTGTCATAAGGATAAGATTGGTTAGTATAGTTAGAAGGGTATTATTGTAATTAGGTTATATGGCTATATAAGGGATTGTATAGCTATCATTTTCTTAAGTTCTTTTGTATAAATTTTCTCCATTTTAATCAATACAATCTTTCTGGTTTTTCTCTCTATCATCTTCATCTTCCTTTGTACCAATTCTTCATCTTTTACAATGTAGTTAATATGGTATCAGAGCCACCAAGGCTCATGCCATGGATCTTGGTGGTCGATTCTTCTTCTATCTTTCTTCATTACTTTCTTTCATTTTCGTGTATTTGATCGTTTATGCTTCCGTATTCATAGTTTTTTACTTTTGGTCTCTGGATTTTCCTCTCTTCTTCCTTCACCTTCATATTACCCACCTTCAGCACACCGTTCTTCATCTCTGCCTTGATACTGTCAGGCTTGAACAAAGAATCATCGAGCTGCCAGAAAATACACATGTTCTTTTCTTCTGGGTTTTCTTAAATCTGTTGTGAAAAGATCCAAGCATTTCCATGGAGAACAGGAATCAAGAACCTCAATTTTTCGTCTGGGTTTCCCGAAGCAGCTTCTAGAAGCCAAGAAGGTCGTCGAACTGAGCGAAGCCGTGGATGGTGGTGGGCCTGCCGGATGTCGACCCTTGATCTGGGTGCCGCTGCATCCGTCCTTCCTTCTCCCTCAAGGCGCGCGCGATCGATGAAATCACTCTCTTGAGTAAGAAATCGACCTCTGTCGCAGCTTCCATGGCAGATTATGGCCGCGACGATGAAGCTGAAGATTCTAATCCCTCTGAAACCATTTACTGCAAATTTTGCAGACGAATCGGTTCGTCGCCAGACGGGTCTTCAGCGATAGAGCAATCACCTCCGCATCTGGATCTGGCATTCCTGATTTCTTGTTGCTTCCCATTTCTTGGTCTTGATTTCGACGTCAATAAATGGATTTCTTATGATCATTGTTAGCTGCAGTCAAGGTGTTTGACAAATTGCCCAGCTCAGAATTTTCATGAGAAGGATCTGCAGATTTTGGTTGTTGTATTTCTTTGTTTCTTCAATTCTGCACATAAGGTGTTTGTGTTTCTGATGATCTGGTGAAGACTTCCGCTGGTTTGGGTGTTTGGTAATCTGAAACGGCGTTGTGTGGGTGTTTGGAGAGTTGGTGGTGCGATTTTGGTAAATCAGGTGAATTTGTTTATTGGTTTTGTTTGATGCTTATTTCTTGAAGATGTGGTCTTTGATGTACTTTCGAGATTTAATTGAAGTGAAGTTGTGGTCTTGATGTGTTGATCTCTGCAAAGTATTAGTTTTTTGTATATTTCCTGCGAGTATCATTCTCTAAGGCTTGTCGATTTAAAGAAGAAAGTGTCATTCTTTCTATGAATCTTGGAGTTTCATTCTCCTAAGTTGCAGTATGATTTGGAGTTTCATTCTCCTAAGTTGCAGTATGATTTGTGTTCATGGAGTGTCAGTCTCCTTATTTGGTATTTTTAGTAGAAGTGTGCGATTTGTGTTGTGCTTTGAAGTGTCATTCTCCTTGGCTGATTTGGTTTCTTGGAGTGTCATTCTCCTTGGTAGATTTAGTTTTTGGAGTGTCATTCTCCGTGTCTTAGGAGTGTCATTCTCCTTGGTAGATTTAGTTTCTTGGCAGTGTCAACTATGGATTCTCAGTTCACAGTCAAAAATTTGTTGGGTATGTTCAGACCAAGACCACGAAGCATAGCTCTTTCTCCCGCAACCATCATGTACTTTGGAACATCTGTGCCATCACAGAACCACCACCAATAAATGAGAAATAGCCAACATGGCAGAATTGATGAACGATAACAGCCCCTGCAGTGTGAGCATCATCTTCCACCACAACATGGCCTGCCAACAATGTATTATATGATGTTGTTTCCGATCTTGCAATCGTGGGCAATATGACAAGATCCCATGATAAGATTGTTATTCCCAACAGTTGTTATATCACTCGACTTCGAAGATCGGTGGATCGAAGTATAGTTTCTTGCATTATACAAGAGCCATTGCAGGAGTGATTGACAAAGAAAAAGAAGTTGGGTGTGGAGAGAAGAAGAGTTTTCTTGTGGCGCAATTTTCAAGGGGAAAGGCAGTAATTGGCACCCGTTGGTATTCATTTGTTTGGGGTTTTTTGCAGTGTTCTTAAAGCATTGCAAACATCTTGGTCTTGCAGTTCCAGATCAGTTTCAGCATTCTAGCTCATTCAACCTTCACTTGGCTGCACCAAGTTCAGTTTGAGGGGGGAGTATTAACCATAGTCATTAGTGATGACATGGTTACTTAGTAATGAAGAATATAGTTAGTTGAAATGTGTTGGTAGGTTGTCATAAGGATAAGATTGGTTAGTATAGTTAGAAGGGTATTATTGTAATTAGGTTATATGGCTATATAAGGGATTGTATAGCTATCATTTCCTTAAGTTCTTTTGTATACATTTTCTCCATTTTAATCAATACAATCTTTCTGGTTTTTCTCTCTATCATCTTCATCTTCCTTTGTACCAATTCTTCATCTTTTACAATGTAGTTAATAAAGATAAGACACCAATGAGGTTGTGGTCCTCTATATTGGAAAATTATAGAGAGGAATGATCCCTGAGCCTAAAGTGGGGACCACATATGGGACCCATCATTTATGCATCTGACCTGAGAGAGCATTGTCACTCTTATGTTATTCTTTTGTTGGATTGATCTTGTGTGAAGCAATTTGTATCCTTAATTTTGCTTAAGCATGAGTTAGGATCCATATTTCATACTCTTGAAGAATGTAAAATACCACGTCGGAAATATGATAAAATATAATATAATATAATATAATGCCGAATTGTGAAGGTGAGTAAGTTGAAAACAGTGTCACCATCGATGTTGCTTAGTAGCCTCTTATGCAATAATTCAAATGAGGTGAAAGGAAGAGGGGACGCTCAAACTTTCGTCTTAGCATAGGATTAACGCTTTTAACCACCAGAGCTACAAACATAACCATGTAGTAGTACCAAATTATTCATAAATTATAATTTTGTTCCATTGCACTTCATACTTTGGCCATCATATTCATAAACATCAGTGATCACTAAACTTTAGTTTACTTCTAATTATAATAATTACAATTTTCTGGCCTGTTTCTTTTTCGGTTTCACAAGCTGTGAATCTCTAGAAACATTCTTAGGGGCCTGCAGTGTCTTCTTGCAGCTCATGATTCGCAAGCTCTGCCTTAATATGTCAATCTCTCTTTCCTTCTTAAAATGGCCATGCTCCATTGAAGCTATTTTGGATTTTAGAGAGGCAATCATTTCTTCCTTGGCTTTGAGCTCTCTCTTTAGCTCTTCCACACAGTCTTCTTCCTCTGCCTTCCAATACAGCCCATTTCCTGCAGTAAATACCAAATGTCCATTGTAAATGACATATAGGCCCTTTATCCAAAAGGATTTTCATTTTTTGGTAAAAATGGAGGCTAGTTGTAGGGCCTATTCCACGTCAAATTTCAACGATTGAAACCATTTATTTTGTACGTCTTGATTCATAGATCATCCTTACAAAAATTCATTTCAATCCGAAATAATTTGTCTATTTAATTATCACAATGAAATTTCTATGTTTCTTAGTAAACAAAGTATTCGTCAATTTTTTTGAACTCAATTAAATGTCTCAAATATTTCCGATTTAGCTAATATTATAGTTTGGATCATTAAAGTACAACATTTTTCATAAATATATTTATCTATCTATGAATTAAAAACACATTAATGAAGAATTTTTAAGATTATAATAAGTTCAGAGTTTGAATCTTTCAAATGTAACTGAAAACATATATTTGTAAAGAGGATTAGATTTAGTTATGTATACCTAAGAATCAAGCAATGTTGTAGCTAATTATAATGATGAAAAATTCAGTTTTTTTATGATTCTTTTTTCTTGTGATGAGAAGAAAAATAATCAATGTCTTCCGACGAAGGAAAAGCCAAAGACCCACCGACTGCTAAACTATGATGTTGGTTATCATTATCAATAATATAACTACGAAAATCGCCATCATAATTTCTTAGATACAACTGTTTTGTTCCAAAAAATTGAAGACTGAATGTCGCTGAAACAAATTGTAATATAGCAATTTTTCTGTAAGTGTTAATTATACAGTTTCCAGAGAGAGAGAGAGAGAGAGATAGAGAGAGAGAGTTACCAGAATGTGTCCTCTGAATGAGATCATCAAGCTCCACCTTAATAGCCAGATAAAGCTGCTTCCACTTCTCCACAGTCTCATCCCTCCTTGCTCTCTCCTCCTTCATTTGCTCAGCCAAGAAACCACTCTCCAAGAACACTTCCCACTCTTTACCATTATTCTCCCCACCACCAACTCCACGACCATCACCACCACTGCCGCCGCCACCACTACTCTTATTATTATTCCCACCTCCGACCACCATAACCCCACCACCACAGTCCTCCATTCCCCTAATCCTCTCCTCCTTCTCCTCCACCACCTTCCTCAGCATCTTCACTTCCTCCCTCATCTTCTTCTTCTCTTGCTTCCACTCAGCCTCCTTGAATGCAAACACCATCATGTCCCTCTCATATGCTGCACTCTCCTTCTTCCTCTCACACACCATCTCACTCATCTCCTCTTGAATACTCCCCACCTTTTCTCTCAACCCACCAGCATTTTTCTCACTTAAATTACCCTTCTTCTTGCTGAGAAACCCGCCCATCTACCAGTGATTTTCACACTCCCGCTTTCTTTTTTAGAGAGGATCCTTTCTGACATCGATTTTATCCAAGGGAGGGGGTTGTTTCAGAGGCTTCTCCTCTTGCTCTTCCACTTAATGAGAGCTGTGGTCTATTTTTATAAAGGGAGTTGCTAGTTAGGTGCGCACTCACTCTCACACAATGTTAATAATGTTTGATGGAAGAAGCATCAACGAGCCAATGAGTGAGGCTCGTGAAGAAGACTAGTGTCTTGTATGCTAACATTATTTGATGATTTTTACACAGATATGGGACACACATGATCTGTATGCAAATATAATTGGATTATTCCCAAAGTCACATGCAATTTTCTTATTTAGGAGCGTGGGTTCTTTATTTCAAAATCTATTATTGTTTGGTCAATATTTTGCCAGCTACTTTTAACTCAGCATTAGCCTCAGATAGCATCTATATACTGTTTGCATTAGTACCATTTCGTTCAAAAACTTTAAGCAATTATTGTGTGCATTGAAATACAGCCACCTGATATAGCATTTCGCTTCTGTTTTAACACGTGTTTTAAGTGCTCTTTCTCTACAAAAAATCACATAAAATTAATATTAGTATATCACAATTTTATCTCCACAATTTATTAAATAAAATAAATATAATAAGATAAAATACTTGTCTTTTGTAGGTGGAGAACACTCTTCGTCGATTCTTGATTAGAACAACTATGTAGGTTGAGGTGTGTAATCAATGTCCTTAAGAGTAGATTTTGCCTCTCTAAAACAATGTCTTGATGTAGCAGGTTATTACACCTTACACTACTACAAAAGGACCTTATTGTGTCGGTGGTTGGTGTCGCTTTTATAAAACATAGTGGCGCTTAAGACATTACGACACCTACTTTACATGGTGTCGGAATTACTGTTGCTTATAACCAACATAGATTTTAATATTTTTTAATAGTGGTGTCTCATTTAAAAAAACTATGTCGCTTTTAACCGACATAATGTCAGCGTCGGTTAAAAGAAGACTGGTGTCGCTTTTTTCCAACATTAATGATAGTTTTTAAATATTTTCAAAGCTAGTGTCGGTTGTAGCCGACATAAGTTTTAATTTTTATTAAATATTTTGAAACCCGGTGTCACTTGTAATCGACATAAAGTTAGCGTCGGTTAAAAGAAAACTGGTGTCGCTTATACCCGACACTAGAGAAAGTTTTTCAATATTTTCAAAGCCTATGTCACTTGTAACCGACATAGATTTTAAATTTTTTAAAATATTTTGAAACCCAGTGTGGTTGTAGGTGACAGATTGGTGACCTTTATATAACCTCTAGAATAGGCTTGGCAAACGGGTTGTGTCTGTCGTGTTCGTGTCGTTTTCGTTTAACACATGTTATCTTAACGGGTTGTGTCTTGTCACACCCGTTATGACCAGTTATGACCCATTAAAAAAATATTTTTTTTCTTAAATTTGCACATACCACACATTGCCACATAAATATTACTTCAAAACATTAAAACACATTTGTTGTTTAAGTACTACATCTACACTCGAAAATAAGAGTCTAACATCCATACACTACTAGTCTATTACAAAATATTAAATGTGCAAGGATATGCAAAATGAAAGAGTTTTTGTTTTCAAGGTTGTGAAGCCTTTCTCAAAAGTTTAAACCTTACCAATGGAACTCAAAGCTTGCATGTTATTCCTCCTACAAAATCTCAATTTTCATCGATCATCATGACATAAGATTTTGTGGTATCCACTTATGTAAATATTTTAAATTGACGATCAAATTAGTTCATTGTATTCATATAGGATCAAGGAGTATAGCTGTAAAAATTCATCAAAATCAGAATTAAAATAACCGTTAAATTATGATTTTTCATTTATAACCGTCGAAAAGTTTTGTCAAATTACTTGATCTCTGAATTTTGTTTTTTGCAATTTTTGGTGTATGCGATCTTGAAGTATATGGAAACATGTTTGATGGTTTGATCGTTGAAACTAGTTTCGTAGAATGCGTATCCCATCAAAACAATAGATTCACTAACACTTAAGAGTTTATTCATATTTTCATTAAGTATAACATAAGATTTTGTGGTATCCACTAGTGTAAATATTTTAAATTTAAGATCAAGTTCATTCATTGTATTCATATAGGGTCAAGGAGTGTAGCTGTAAAAAATCATCAAAATCAGAGTTAAAATAACCGTTAGATCATGATTTTTCGTTGATAGTTGTCGAAAAGTTTTGTGCGGTTACTTGATCTCTGAATGTTTGTTTTTTGCAATTTTTGGCGTATGCGATCTCGAAGCATATACAAACAAGTTTGATGGTTGGATCGTTGAAACTAGTTTCGTAGAATGCGTATCCCATCAAAACAATAGATTCACTAACACTTAAGAGTTTATTCATACTTTTATTAACTATGACATAAGATTTTGTGGTATCTACTTGTACAAATATTTTAAATTGACAATCAAATTAGTTCATTGTATTCATATAGGATCAAGGAGTGTAGCTGTAAAAAATCATCAAAATCATCAAAATCATCAAAATCAGAGTTAAAATAACCGTTAAATCGTGATTTTTCATTTATAATAGTCGAAAAGTTTTGTGCCGTTACTTGATCTCTGAATGTTTGTTTTTTGTAATTTTTGGCGTATGCGATCTCGAGGCATATACAAAAAAATTTGACGGTTGGATCGTTGAAATTAGTTTCGTAGGATGCATATCCCATCAAAACGATATATTCATTAACACTTAGAGTTTATTTATACTTTCATTAAGTATAACATAAGAATCCACTAGTGTAAATATTTTAAATTGAAGATCTAATTTATTCATTGTAGTCATATAGGATCAAATAGTGTAGCTATAAAAAATAATCAAAATCGGAGTTAAAATAACCGTTAAATCGTTATTTTTCGTTTTATAACCGTCAAAACGTTTTGTCCCATTACTTGATCTCTGAATGTTTTTTTTTTTGCAATTTTTGGTGTATGCAATCTCAAAGTATATACAAACATATTTGATGGTTTGATCGTTGAAACTAGTTTCGTAGAATGCGTATCCCATCAAAACAATAGATTCACTAACACTTAAGAGTTTATTCATATTTTCATTAAGTATAACATAAGATTTTGTGGTATCCACTAGTGTAAATATTTTAAATTTAAGATCGAGTTCATTCATTATATTCATATAGGGTCAAGGAGTGTAGCTGTAAAAAATCATCAAAATCGGAGTTAAAATAACCGTTAAATCTTGATTTTTCGTTGATAACTGTTGAAAAGTTTGTGCCGTTACTTGATCTTTGAATGTTTATTTTTTGCAATTTTTGGCGTATACGATCTCGAAGCATATACAAACAAGTTTAACGGTTGAATCGTTGAAACTAGTTTCGTAGAATGCGTATTCCATCAAAACAATATATTCACTAACACTTAAGAGTTAATTCATACTTTCATTAACCATGACATAAGATTTTGCCGTATCCACTTGTGTAAATATTTTAAATTGATGATCAAATTAGTTCATTGTATTCATATAGGATCAAGGAGTGTAACTGTAAAAAATCATCAAAATCGGAGTTAAAATAACCGCTAAATCGTGCTTTTTCGTTTATAACCGTCGAAAAGTTTTGTGTCGTTACTTGATATCTAAATGTTTGTTTTTTGAGATTTTTGCCTTATGCGATCTCGAGACATATACAAAAAAGTTTGACAGTTGGATCATTGAAATTAATTTCGTAGGATGCGTATCCCATCAAAACGATAGATTCACTAACACTTAGAGCAAGTCCACCCCTAAAGACTTTGCACCAGAGCACCCAGCCCATTTATCCACTCAAGTGAACAGTGATTGACTCTAATGAATAGTAATAGACCAATGCATCTTCACCCCTAAAACTAAATAGCCTAGTCAATTTTATTAAAATATTATTAATTTTTATTATAAAATAATAATTTGGTTTTTTATCTTCTTCTTCTTCTTCTGGAAATGAATCTCCTTATCCTCTCTCTCTCTCTGTCACGCACGCTGATCGGATCATATTTATATATATTTTTACTTCGAATTCACTCGTCTTTTCTTAGTTAGTTCCTTATATTTTTGAGCTATTTACGTTATTTTTGTGTTTATAGAATTTGTTATGCAAAGAAAATAAAAATAGCACAAATGAGTTTTAAATAATAAATTCGTCGAAAATTGCTTTAGTCGTTCTCATTCTGTCATGGATTATTGGTAGAATTATGTCACGGCATAAACAAAAAAATTGGGGAGAGTCGGTCAAAGAGGGAGCAAGAGAGCATCATGATTTATATTTATTTTTACCTCGTTGACTCCCATATTCTTCACTTCTGAAAACAACAGGATGCTGCTTTGCAGCTGGAAAGAAAGGAATCCAAGGTGTAAACGAGAGGAATCGAAAGGGGAGAGAGATAGGAGAGACTGACGGAAGTCAGAGGGCAGGTCAGAGGCGCGGCAGCAGAGCAGAAGCAGTGCGCAGGGACAGACAGAACACTGAAGCACTCTCTCTTTCGGTTTAATTTTTCCAAACTTCTCTTTTATTTCTGTTTTTAATAATGTGTAATTAAATTTATGTTGGTTAGAGGTTAATTCGAAACCATGAATATATTTGTAATATGAATTGATTACCTTCAGTTGTGAGTTATAAGTTGTGAATTCAATTTACTTATCCGTTCGTATAAAAACTGATTTGTGTATGTTGGTTGAGAGTGCACGCTTAATTTACATGCATGAATTTGATGCTAGAATATAAGTGAATTTCACCTAATCGTTATGAACTTATTTTCACAAGTAGTAAAGGTTGCTAGTCACAATCACGTTAAGTAAATTCTTGGCAAGAGTATCATGCTTTTCATAGTTACGAATGCCTCGTCAATGCTTATAGTTTTCACAAAGTTTAATGATCTTTGATTGTATCTCTATTGTGCTTTTCACGTAGGGGACTTTTGAAGAATGTTTTGAATTGTTGTATGCGTTTTCCCGTCCAATTCAATAACTTAAGGAAAACTTGAAGATTAAAAAAGTGCTGTTCACGGTTAATCTGAAGTGTTGAAATTCACAATTTATTAAAATGAACAACTGGAAATCATTTTGTATGCAAGTATAACATGTGTGGAGAAGAACCCTCTAGCTAGTCCGTCATTTAATCATTTTACCTTAATTTTATGTTTTTATCAATTCTGTAATTTTAATTAAG